TAATGTGTGTTAGTAATGCAGTTTAGTAAGATTCAAAGTCTGCTCATGTGTGCTCTGCTTCAAGGTTAGAAGATAATGTTGACTCTGAGAAGGGTACCTTGACACCAGTTGTTTTCTTGTTTTAATCTTGTGTAAGAATTATGTCTGAATGAATGTTTAGTTACACATCACGCATACAACATACACACACATGGAATTCTTCATTTTGTTATGTCCAGCTGCTCCAAGCATGTGGAGCTCTAGATAATAGAAGGAGACGTCGGACTGTCTCCAGCTCCTGATGTTTTTACAGCTGTCTGTGTAAGGGGTTAGCCCGAAACTGGTAAATGTATTAGGCTCTGTGTTTCCGGGTGCTTTTTGTCCCTGCTCTCTTCTCCAGCAGCTTGTCTGAAGGAGGGAGACCTGGGTTGTGTTCTGTAATCCTTTTTATACATACATACATACATACATACATACATACATACATACATACATACATACATACAGCTGCAAATATAGAACAAAAAACGCACACGGTATATGATTTACTATGGATGACTATAGTGAATCCTAGCTAAACATGCAGCCATTGACCTCTTTCATGTTTCATTAATGATGTTTTATTTCACTTTTTGATTTCCCATTCAAAAAATAAAACAATATTAAGTAATCACAAATTCCTGGAGCCCAAGGTGACACATTCACTTGTTTTTTCCAAGTGACAGTGAAACCAAAAGGATTTGTGTTGATATGATTAACAAACAATGTTTGTTTGATTTTTTTTTCTTTTCTACACTACACACTAGAAGCTTATTACAGTGTGATAGCTGATGTTTCTGCTTCATTCGACTCTGCTGTCATGGCAGTTGTCTTCAGTTCGTTCCCCTCTTCTCTCTGTTCTCTCCTCTGCCAGGCTGGATCTTCAACTGGACGACAAAGGGCAGACAAACGCTGGAACACAGAACCAGACCAAACTAAGTGTCCACACTATTGTGATACCTGTAACATCTGCACAAGTCATTTTGAACCTTTAAACATGCTGGGCATTCAGTTAAATGCAACTTATAGGTTAAACGCTGGTGTTTTTACCTCTGTATGGTTTTGTTTATGCCCACGTGTCAGCGATAGCCAAGCAAGGCCAAAGGAATTCTGTTTTCGGGTTGTGTGTCTGTAGGCCATCCAGCCCATTTTTTTAACACAATATGTCAGGAACACCTCAAGGGAATTTTTTTAAATTTGGCACAAGTGTTCACTTGGACTCCAGGGTGACCTAATTAGGTTTTGGTAGTCAAAGACCTCACATTCCCATGAATATGACTGGTTGGCACAAAGCAGTAATTCTAGTTATATTCTAATCTACCAACATTCAAGGGACTTTTTGTCCTATTAATTTTTAACACAGTGTGTTCACATTCTCACGTTTCCCAGCAGACCTGTGGCTTTGTTTTTGACTTTTAAAAAAATGTTTTTTAAACACTGACCTGTCTGAAGGTTCCTGCCGTCAAACACATCTGTCCAGCTGCCCACAGTGGCATCATGAGAAGAGAGGAGAGCATCATGGTCCATCCCAGTGCGTACGCCCACTCAGGGTAAATGTAACTGTCATTAACTCGGAGCTGTTTATACTCAACCAGATACAAGATGAAGGAAATCTGTGAGGTTATGGGGACAGTTTGTAAGACCTAGCAATAATATGTAATGATATTAATTAAACATTTCTGTATCACATCATCTGATCTCACTAACTATTTTGGTTAGTTTCCTGCCTTGTGTCAACTCACCTGCCCCAGCTTTACCCCTGTTTACAATCACTAGTCATTTCCACCAGTTGTTCATTATCCCCTGGTCTTGTGCCTATATATCCTCCCCCTTTCCCGTGCTCTGGTTACTGGTTGATCTGTTATCCATGCCTCATTGCCCCCGTTGTCCGTCTCACTGCGTACCACACCCTGCCTATCCGCTTTGTAAGTTTTTTTTTGTTTGTTTTTTTATCAGTCTCGTGTTTGGTTCTTACCTTGGTTACCTTTGGACTGTTCTTTTGAGTTTTTTCCTGTGAGCAAGATTTTTGGTTTGTTTTAATCATTTAGTTTGTTTCATATCGCTCCCTGACCAACCTGTTTTATGTTTCTTTGCCTATTGATCTAGCTGTCAGGTTCCATATGATAAACTGCTTTATTTCTTAAGACTCTTGCCCTGGTCTGCATTTTGGGTCCTTCTTAGCCTGAAAACCTAACGGTATGAACCAGCCAAACCTAGACCCAGTCAAGGAGTTAAGAGCTCCTTGAATTTTGTAGTAAAACAATTAAATTTCTAACAAGTTTGACTGCTTCTATTATCTTGACCATCTCACCTTGTGAAAGTGGACATATTTTTCTCCAGCAGCTGATGAATCCTTCCTGGGCGTACTGACCAACTGAGGTCTCTAGCAAGAACAGAGGTATCCCACACACCACAGCCAACAGACATTATAATTTTTCAGTGTTTTAAATGTTACTCAAACCTCTACATACAAATGTGCATGTATGAAACCAACCTTCCCTTAGATATAGATAGATGTGCGTTAACTACCCTTTCCTTGTCTCATCCAGTGTCTTACTTGCTTGCCAAGACAGAAAGCAAAGAAAAGGAGTTAACTATCATACAGGTACAGTTCCCACTGGTGAACATTCTAACCATAATGTCATCATGAAAAATCTAAATACATATTATTATGAAATAATATGCAATAGTTTTGAATTTTGAATGGTTTTCCTCTACACTACTAACTACTCACCTCCACCATACTTGTAACAGAGATAAGGAAATCTACACATATTGCCCAGGCCGACCACATTTCCTGCAACAACCAGAATGTATTCAGCTTTGTTCGCCCACTGTCCTCTGTCTCCAGCCCTCCTCTGGTTTTCCTTTCTTCTTCTTTCTCTGTTCATCTTGAGATCTGCCTTCAGACCATAGTCACTCACTCAGACAGCTTTAGAAATGTGGGTGCCATGTATAATTTCAGTAACAATTATCGGTGCTCTGCATAATTTGAGCTTCTGGGAAAGTGTGTTGATCAGAGGAGATGTGAGACTTTCCCTTTGGAGATCTCTGCGACAGTGTAAACACTCAGACACAAAGTTATTTCTCCCTGTGACTTGGATTTGCATTAAGAGCCAGTAAACACTAAATGTGATCAGAAACACTAAATGTGATCAGAAATCAGCTTTATCACTGTTTTATAAATGTGTTGTTAGATACTATTTCTTAAAAGCGTTCTCCAGTTAAATCATCAGAAGCTGAGATATCCTTATTTTGGTCCTTGTTATGTGTCACACTCCAAAAAACATTTCCCTACCAAAGTTATGTATCCCCCATGACTTGAATTTGCATTAAGTAAACACTAAAGTCTCACTCCGAAGCACTCAGTAGCAGCAGAGGTGGCGTTGGTCATCATAGTCTGATCTGCAGTTACATTTGGTGAAGATGAATCCAAAGTCTGATTTCTGACTCATAGAGCATGTAAAGTGTGTGTGAAGGCTGGAGGTCTATCCACAGCTAAAATAATCATAGCTCACTAAATTTACAGCAGCTTGTTCAGCTGTTTGTGTAGATTGTAACACTAATATTCAATATAGTATCGTTGCGAACTAGTGGATTCTAGAGATTTTGCTGAGTAATGACACTGGAGTCAGGCTCTTTTGATGCAGGCTTCCATGCCCCATACACTGCAAGACCCGGATAGCTGCTGCTTTTATTACAGAACACCACACTGAACATCAGTACTTTTATACACAGTTTTTCCTCAGAAGAACCCGCCAACCAGCCCACCAACCCAAAGTTTCCTCCCCCCCAGGAACACCTGCTACACTGTGGGAAACCACCCAG